CCAAATAACTTCTCGGTTTCAGAACAGAACCCACATACAAAACTAAGAAGATATAAGAAACATATTAAACTATCATAAAATATGCATTTTTCTTACCTTCAAGCTTCTTTTTTTGTAGAATCACACGAAACTAACTCAGGGCAAAAAGTGACACGTGTATCAGATAATGAGATTATTCAAACTACAGTCTCGACATCTAATGGAATCAAATACACTGCTAGAAATTAGAGACGGGGTAACTATATCGATTCAGAAAATGCTAATTTGGAAAACTTGAGTTCCCTAGTTTTGGCGATATATCGATTACGACAACTTGCCCCTGCGACAACTAGCCCCGGTCTCTGACAAAAACTGGGACCAAATCTTTCCACTGGCATCAGATAGCACTTTTCCCAGGGTAGAAATAGAAAATGTAACCCAGTATTGTATAGCAAATATAACCAGCATAAAGCTGCACTTTAAAAAATTGCTCTTTGTCAGTGCAGAAATTATAGAATCCCATTAATACTTTATTCAAATTTGCTTCGATATAATCTCTATGAGGCTTATGTTTTCATTCTAATTAAATGTCTAGATAATACTGCAATTTCGATGTATCTAGTACCCTCACGTTACACTGCAATAACGAATTTTAGGTAATAAAATATTTTTATTTATTAACATACTCGTATATGTAATATACATGTATGTTATAGCAAATTGTTTAAAATGTACTAGAACCATTACCATTGTTAAGAAAATATTAAGAGCCGAACAATAACAATTATTGCACTTTTTCAAGCATACAATCCTTGAACCAAACGTATAATTTTTCCGCCTTCCAAATCTCGGCTCGGTGTGTAATTTAACGGAGCACCCAAGTTAAATAGCATATAAAAATGCTAGATTTCTATTAATGTCTATGTTCCATTGCAATAATCAAATACAAGTTGTAAACATAATGGAAAATATATGGTAAATTAGTGATCATTAAATTTCTTCCTAGTGGGAATAGTGGGAAATGCACTTGTATCATATCATTTTTTATCTAAAATGACTCATGAAAAGAAAATTATTGTAATATGAAGTACAATCTGAACTTCTAATTAAGTAAATAGAAATTTAATTATTTTCAAGCTTGCTACTACTACTTGCTTACTTAATAAGCTACTAACGCTATTTATGGCATCAATCAAGGAAATTGTATTCTTTTAAAATACCACGTAACAATAAATTCACAAAAGCGCCTACCTGATTTTATTTAATGATTTTATTTTTCCCGAAGGTTCATTTTCTTAGAAAGTTGTGGTTTAAGCTATGAAAAATAATAGAGAATTATGACTTCCAGTATCAATTCAGTATATTTTACTAACATTGAATTTGTTGTTGGCATATTTAAAAATATTGTTGGGTTGAGGCGTAAATACCATTTTCTTGCTCCCCTGTGGAAAGTACATACTTTCTCTACTGTTTTCTATGTCGAAAGCATTACTTTTACCCATAACAATTTTTTTTCATCCCGTGTGGAAAGTAATAACTTTCGCCACGCACGCTAGCTTAAGTTTGTCACTGTCTGTCAGTTGACTGTTTTGAAAACAGTTTCAAAGTTTCTTTTTCAAAACCTTGTACTTTTCTCGCCTAGTTTCCACCAAGGATCAGGCAGTGGCGGAACTTCGACTTTCGTCTCTAGTATAGAAACTAACTTTTATGACACTCAGTGTCATATCAAGTCTTGTGACATAAAAAAGCAGCGTAATGGATTATGCTTTGCTCAACCCGGGAATATTGGTTACCGTACTTGCAAAGGTGTGGTTTATCTTCGCACATAAAAACACTAGTGTTGATATCTTGATTTTGAAGTCTTTTTGAGCAGCTTGAATTCGTAAAGTTTAATTTAAAAAAAAACTACTGCGAAAACCCCCACTAATTAATGCTGAAAAGCTGAGTGAACATAAGTCAAATTTCGCAAGTCGCTATTCCTCGTGAGAAACATTGAGCCCATTGATTTTAATAATAAAAACTTACTTCCGTTATAAATTCCCTACCTCCCTTTACTAGCTGTAAATCCCTCTACTAACACTTTCTAAACGGATTTTCTTCCGGAAATTTCGTTTTCAACCACCTCGATCAGGTTGCGATTTTCCAGAAAGAAAATTCGAAAAATTTCAATGCTCAATCTAGAATCCAAAACGTCTCTCGTCGTTTCGTGTCGAATAAATATGGCATGCAGCAGTCAGTAATATGGGACTAAAAGCTCTACATCTAAAAGGCACCCAGGGACAAAGTAATGTTAAACTTACCGATAGCTGTATCGCGCCATCTGGAAAGAAAGAAAAACATTCTTTAGTATTACAGAAACTAACTCAACAGTTTACATAGTTGAAATAAACAGAGAAAATAAGAGGAATACAAAATGTCATCAACTTTAGTTGTTTCTCGAAAAGCTAAACTCAGTTCAAGCGAAAGGGTCTATAGATTAGAAATCATGTTTACGAGCTTTCTGCAAGCTGGCGCTCCATCCTCCAATTTCTACTCATTAATCCTCGAAAAGCTTTCACTATAATTGCAAAGACAATAAAGATCCACTCCGATTTTTAATCTTTCAGTGAGCAGATAACGGATAATTTTGCGCACTTGCCTTATGGGCACCAAACTATCCTGTATATGACGTCTATGAACAAAGTACTAAGGACGTATTTTGTTCACTTCCCTTTCCAAAAGATATTGAGACCTTTACAACTTTCCGATGGCAGCGAAGTACAGAATTAAAGTGATGATAGAAGTGTTTGCTTGAACGTCCCTTTGGATGAGTTATTTGCATTTCGATTTCCGTTTTTCTAATGTTGATTATGTTGTAGAAAGTGCCTGTTCGCACGCAAATATTTTCAAACGCAAGTTTCTCACGCATTTTTTTAGGGCTTCAATGGCAGAACATGGCTGGACTGGCTCTTTTCCACGTTTACAGAACCACTACGACGTTGTAATTACATTGACTATTGTAATTGAATTGAAGCGTGTCCTGACTTAATCTCTATTATATTACACCCCTGACTAGAAAGCTAGATCCGCCCTTGTTGCCAGAATCATGTGCTTTTCCCATGCATTGAGGAAAACTGAGTAGGTACTCAGTAAAAAACACTTATTTCAAACCTATGCAGTTATATGTTACGTGAGTGTAAACCGTAATTAAGAAATAAATAAGAAATATCATAATTAGCAGTGCCAGAGATAAGAACATTTCGTGTCAAGGCCCTTTAACAGCATTTTTTTGCAGATTAAGCACTTCAAATATTTATATTTAAAATTTTAGGAATGGCAAAGTCAATGGTGAAATCGGTTATCATAGAAATAAACGCATTAAAATTAGTAATTTATAAAAAGGATTTTACTACAATTTTATTTGCACAATAAACTCCGCAGGAACGTCAAGAAACAAAAATAAGTAAACTGAAATGCATTTACAGATTACCTTTCAAGCAGACAATTTCATATTTTTGAGTCGAAATTTTAATTAGTCAATTATGTAATTTGTTTCAATTTTAATTGTTGGTTTATTGTAAATTGAGTTTACAGTGACACATTAAGATAACTGGAAGTTAAGAACTGGAAAGCAGTAATTATTAAAATGCCAATATTAAATTATTCATTATTATTAAGATCTATTTTGATAACGTGTGCACCGTTTAGCACGCAATGTACTCATTTGCTAGCAATTAATGAATCCCTTTTCAGTAAAATGGTATGATCAACGATCGAGGAAACTTCCCAAACCTACTGCAGTGATGTAATCATATGTATTTAGGAAACACCTTGTATATAGAATGGGTGTGATCGTGGACTAAAGCCCGAGTGGAAGATAGTCTTGAAGGGACATGACTCAGTCATTAACATACGATTACTTAGTAGTTAAGTTAATTGCCAAGAGCTGCAGCTTGCGCCCCTCTGTGTATGCATTTCAATGAGTAGCTCTAATAATAGTTTTTTGCTCATACCTTACACCACGTCTTCCGGAATTAAGTTGCATGTAAGAGGGAATAAATGTTATAGGTTTACTCAACATGCCACATCTGACTTTCTTCATTCAAAATCTGGGTAATTTCGATAAATTCAGAATAAACAGTTCATGCAAAGATCTGAGATACCAGCATATCGGGCCTCGAAGAGCTTAAAAAGCTGCATTTTTTGTGTCTCATTGCAGTTAAAATCCTAGTGAATATTTTGGTATAACTTAGAGAATTAAAATTACGAATTCTTAAATAGTTATCTTGTGGAAAACAAAGAATTGATTACATACTAGCAAATAAATCTGGAAAAATGTGGGAATTGCAGATTGTACGTAGCTTAGTCAACGGTTGTTATGTCAACCAACCAAGAAACATCCAAGAAAACCCAGTGTTATACTGACACAGCGGTCATTTTATTAGAAGTAATTCAATCTTTATTTAAAAGTGTCCATATTAAAATCCGCATCTTGTGCTTTCGTTTTCATTGCGTCAGCAGCAGTCTAACTATTATTTTATAATCTAAAAAAAAATAATCCATAATAAATAAAGTAATAATAATAAATGTTATTGGACAAATTATAGGTAGGTAAGTTGACAATGTTTAAATTTCTAATTTCGAATTTGGCTTCCGTCGGCTCAATAACAATATATGTATCGTGAATTATGTTATATACATGCAATACGATATTTGGAATAAATCGCTATAACAAAAATGAATTTTCCATAATGCTGCAAAATAGTACCTAATTGTTTCGAGCGTGACACCGTCTTTGCTGTACTTATAATAATCTTATTCACCTTCAGTATTCCCAGTTTTGGAGTTCTGAATCTCCGCTTCTATCTGATCTTGAAAGAACTCAAGAAAACCCTTGCGGTTCAAATAAGAGTTAAAATGAAAAAAAAAAGCAAAAATAATATCAGTTAGTAAATATGAATAAAGTGAGGAAAATAGCAAACTAAAAATGTATGGCGCTATCGTTGCTTGATGGTTCGACTGAAATAAGCTTAACCAAAGTAATGATGTCTCCGAGAAACAATAGCAGTAACAGATTATAAATATCCATGCAATATAACCAACTTGCTGCACAAGGGCCATACCAAAAGGCCTCCAAAGAGCAAAAGTTAATAGGATTAAGCTTTAATCAAATATTTCATAAGAAAAAGCCGACAGGTACAAACCGCCATGCTTGCTAATCAGATCAAAGCTCCTTCAATATTAATCTGAAGGTCTCATGCTGAACTAACATCACAACAAAGTTGAACTATCCCCGAAACTCAAAATTATTGAACAACCGGATTCTTGAGTCTTTGAGCAAGCTAACCCAAATGAGAACAGAAACGTAAATACCGAAGAAGCTTCGCCGTTCTTAAGAATTCAAATTGTTTTCAGGAAGACTGACAAAAAAATTTGCATATCAAAAATATTCAATACCTTCAAGAGCAAAGTAAGATAAAATTATAAATTACCTTGTCCGTAAAATTTTTTGATACAGATCATAGATTTTTAAACATACGAACAAGTTAGCAAATTTGTATGGTTGCTGTACCTATACTATATAGGTACAGCTTTGGAAAGAACAACAATATAAATATTTACAAAATTAAAATTGCTGTAGTCAGCAAGTATGATTCAGATTACTACCAACACCTGCCGGGAAGCAGCACTAATTTCTGGCATGGAGTGCAATGCCAGCCAGCACTGTTAACGAAGGCTCGAAAAAAAAAAGTAAGTATATAAATTAACAAGAACGACGATCCACTTGCCAGCTTGTTCGATAAGACAGAAAAGGTTCAAAGAAACAAAAGGGCACTAGAATCTACTAATTCTTGCTTTTTAGTAGGTTGATAATTAAACTAAAACTAAATCACAAACACCAAATGTAAACGACATACGATTTATCGCACGAATGTGCTATTTTTTATGACACAAATGAGCCATTAATTTTCGCAACCACCTTTAAATATAGGTACTGTTCAAACACGGATATCACCAAGCAGGTGGATAGACATTAACAACATTCTATTTTACTTGTGACCGAATGAGTTCTCTAGTGCTGGCCAAAAGCTGAAAAATGACTTAATTTCAACAACTAGGTACCTATATAGGTATACCTGCCTACCGAAGTTCAACAAACTTATTCAAAAAAAATATTAATTAAATCATTCCAGAAACAAGAGTAAAAGAATGTTATTTTGAATTGTGTTTAACCTCTATGCCGGATATGAATGCCACTCCTACAGTTCGGCTGTAAGAGTAGGTAGACTAATAAGAACGTAGATATGAAATTTAAGTAATACGATAAGTACATTTACATATTATCCGGCCGGTTGTGTAGCCGAAATTTTAAATCGTAAAGCCCTTTATAATACAACACACATTTATAGTTAAATATCAGAAAAATAATAATTGTCAAAAGACCGGTAATTTCAAGCAACAATTAATAACTTCATAATAGTTCTCGTTGAACAGGCCGAAACGTTAAGTACATTGCGTTCGTTACCCATCCGACACTTCCACACATCCTGGAGAACGATAACATAAATCCTGCTTAAGTACCAGCCATAATAAACCCAGTCTTTGCTTAAATAAGCGATTCATTAGGAAAATGCAAGTCGCCAGTCTATTGGCCAGAACAAATCGTCGCTCAACTGCCACCCATTGGTGGATCAGAAAAGGACAGCCAGAAAATGATTTTAACTGCCGTGAGGCGGCCCATACTATGCCATTGTTGAACGACCACCAATGGAAAACATGGGCGGATCTCGTCCTTTCAATCTTGTGTAAATGTTTTTACAGGATCAGTTCAAACAGTGTCGATCCTAAACCTACATTGGTAGTATCTTTCGATTTCTGTGTGCGCAGTGTATGATAATTGGTGACATGTGTTGTTGAGTTTTGTGTTCCCAAGTGATAATACAAAAATGCCGCGGCCCAGTAGAGAAAGCTATGGCGACCAGAAGCCCCCGTATTCATACATATCGTTAACAGCGATGGCTATCTGGAATTCACCAGAGAAGATGCTGCCCCTGTCCGAAATCTATAAATTTATTACGGATAGATTTCCTTACTACAGAAAAAACACTCAGAGGTGGCAAAACTCGCTACGGCACAATTTGTCTTTCAATGATTGTTTCATTAAAATTCCTCGACAACCGGATAGGCCTGGGAAAGGAGCTTATTGGGCACTACATCCAGCTGCTTTCGATATGTTTGTTAACGGAAGCCTACTACGCAGACGAAAGCGCTTTAAACTGTTGAAAAGCGATAAGGAAATTCTGGAAAACGAACTTGCTGCACTAACAAATATCAATAGATTATTCTTTACGCCACCTACTAATCCTGCAGATATCATAAATCCTGCAGCTGCACTAGTTCAACCAATGGTACCAACATTAGTAGAACCACCGTCTCCAACATTAACTAAAACACCACCCGAGCAAACAACTATTATTCGCCCAAAAAGGTCGTTTACAATAGAATCATTGATATCGCCAGATAAACCGGCTCCAGTAGTTCCCAGCACGACGCATCATTTAATTCCTCATATGCATCCGTGGATGTTAAGTTCTTGCTACGATTTAAGTGCTTATGCGGCTCCTATGTTACTTCAAGGGGCTCCACCGCACACTTTTGACTATGGACTCACCAGCAACAGTGAGGAATTATTTAGGGTCTCGCAATTATAGCTATAGACTTGTTAAAAAGTATTATCCTGTATTAAGAGTTATCCTGCAGAACACAAGAGAATGGTTCTTTAGTTAGACCTCAAAATAGAGGACCGGGGCTCATTTGGAAAGGGCTAGTGATGCCAACTATAGATTAGAAACTGCACCTTTGAAGGCCGAAAGGTTCGTAACTTTTTCTGATTGAGATTACTTGAATTGTTGATAATGCTAATACTGCAAGTTCTCGAATAGATCACAACCATCAAACAGGTCAGTGAATAATATATAGATAGATATAAGTCTACCATCATTTGAAAACTTGGAACAATTAATTCATTGACTAGTATATTTCAATAAATTTATTTTGTTTGGCGCTAATAATAATAACTTTCTACACACAAAACTCCTGTGAACGACTTAGAATATTTAGACACAAACAATTCTTAGCTAATTCGTATTTCTAGTTTGCTCAACCCATCAATCTCAATTAGTAATTAATGGGACTTTTTATGTTATTTACCGCAATACGTCGCTGAAACGAGTACAAATGTTTTAGTATGCAACTCGGCTGTTTTGTTATTTTCCAGCACTTGTTAGAAGTCGAAAAGACATCACTAGAAATTGAGTTTTTGTTTATATAATATTCCAATATTTTATCAACCATGTCTATTAACAATTTGACAAACTTTAACAAGTAGAAGTAGAGATTTAGGCATCTTGTAGCGGCTACATTGAATTCCACTACCAATAGCAACTGAAGCTGATTGTTAACAGTACAAATCCTTTCAAACTACAACTGATTTGAGCTGCAACTGTGATCATAAATTGTTCAGCACTTAATCTAAGGACGTTTTCCACTTAACTTCAAGAAACAATGGGCTTGTCAAGCAATAAGCAAAATGTACGTTAATATTAAAACACTTGATATTTATACTATCTATAAAGATAAAATTAAATTCACATTTGATAATTTCCACTGTGTCTAAGTTATGAAAGACCTGTATGAAAATATAGAAGCGGAAATAACTGAAATTGTACGAAGTTGATTAAACAGGCAGAATTTCGGGCATTTAATAGTGTAAGCTATTGGCGCTTAAAAGCATCTGAAACAGTTTTCGCTTGTGTCTCTTTTGGAAAACCGCCGCAAAAATTATGACAATGATCTGTTTTTGCTATATCTTACTATTTGTTATCAACAATAATCACCCACTTTGTTTTTTTTGTCACTAAAGGTACCAGCTGCTTTCATAATTAACAATGTATAATATATTAATATTTAAATAGGTTTTCACCGGTTTTTTTAATGAATAAATCGAAAATTGTATGCAAATATTTATGGTGTTGCCGTCAATTAAATTGATGAGAAATGTATTCTCTATCGAACCTGTTCTGGGTTTTGTTCTATTTTGAAATATATTATTAATTGATTCTCTGATCGGTAATCGGTATAAATTGTTAAAATTGCACTAAATATTAATGTATACATTTTCAAGTTAATTTGCATACCTAGATATCTTACACTGGAAGAACTACCCTGCAAGCACAAAAACAAGTTCTACAAACACATTAATTTAAATCGCCATTTTTTATCAAAGTGTTACAAACCCACATTACTGAGATTAGAATTAAAAGGGCTGTAAGCAAAGAAAGTCAGCTTCAAGATAAGAAAGTTGATTATGGCTTCTTGAAAATGAAACTTCAATGTGAAATACTCAGAAGATATGGCTCAGTATTAATATTATTGCTTAAAACACTGATTTTTACAACATATTTCCGGTTTTTCTAAACTTTTCCGAAATAAAGCAGAAGCAGTAACTATCAATTTTCCAACAAAATCATCCAAACGTTTGATTTTTCTCAAGTTCCCATCTAGATTACTATTTGCTTTGCTTGACTTCTGCACACTTATATTTGGTCTTCTAGCAAAAGTTGTCATTTCAAGTAAAAACGAATTCTATTACTTCCTCGATTAATTATTGTAAAGAAGTGTTAACGATACTACCATTGAACACATTGGCATTTAATTGAGCACGACGTTGATTTATTACCTAGCATTTAAGTTTTCAAGAAAACACTCAACATCGTGAGTTGCGCTTTTAATACTCCCCTAGTTTTGTGAGTAGCTGGGTCTCATACTATGCAGAGATACGAATCTAAAGTTGAAGCACATATTTCTCAATTTGCTATAAGATACTGAAAGTCAGTTTATAGAAAAGTGCATGTAGTACTAAATTCTGAAAATTTTTCAAAAATGTTGGCCTTTTATTGTTTATAGTCGCATCAATATCTTTGTCCGATGAAAACTGGTTCTTTTTTTATCACCAAATTTCAAAATATGCATAAATTCTCTATGAAAAGTGTTCTCAAACACATATGCACGTGCCCTTACTGAATTATGAAAACAGAAAAATGATTAGGATAGAGTTAGGATCGTTCTTATAGTACCTATGTTTCAGATCTGAATTTGCCAAATATTAGCCTGCCCATCTGCATGCACATTTCCTTCAAGATGAAACTATTTGGCAGTTTAAACAATAACTTAATTAATATTTGTACAACAGCCCTTGTTTTTACATTTTTAGTAGAACTTATTTAACAAATTTTCTGAGAGATCAGAATTGAAACAGTTCAAGGCCAATTTTCTCTGTTGCAGGTTGAAGGAATAATTCGTGAACAACTAATATTTAACATAATTAACAATTCAAGATTATTTTGAGAAAGATTTTGAAAAAGGTCACTAAATTATTTACTTACTTAAAACCGGCATTTATTATTTTTGACTAAATATTTATGCGGCAGAGTAGTTATTTTTTTAAAAACTTCTTGTTGGGTATTTCGCCTCAAAAATGTTTGTCTTTAAAAAAGACAGAATTTCCTCACATCTTTTATTACAGATTCATAAATAGTGCTCCTATTTCGCAATAAAAACGAAATATTTATCAAAAAGTAATCAAGAACTTTTTGAGGCGAAATACCCAACAAGAACTTTGTAAAAAAATGAATCCGCCTCAACAATATAGAACTTATCTACAACTTAGAGAAGTTATTGTTTGTTTTCTGAATTCAATCTTTTGTAGAATGTACTCTATGAAGCCTCTTTGTTAAAATATTTTTTATAAATATGGCCCAGTCAGAAACAAATAGATTTATAAATTTAAAAAACAGTTTGCATTCCGGTTGTTCCGCATTTCATCTAATATTCACCGGCTGATTATTTTCTAAAACTCCCCCGGTAAAGATTTTATTTTCCTTTTTTCTATTGCCTATATCGTGCCGACATTGTTAAGGGTAATTCGATATGTTTTCCAAGATTGGCTGATAGTAATTTTCTTTGCATTTGAAAATCAATCAATCTCAAGTTATATGATTGAAATCCTAACTACTGGTCCGATAGATAATGAAACTTTTTCTTACCAGAATTTTTACTGCAAATTATTTTTGGGTTAAATGAATAACATTCGATAATTTCTCATTTGGCATGAATGTAATTAATTGAACACAAATTAAAGGGACTTTTCTCCATTTTTCAACTCTCTTCAAGTTATGTTCATACTCTTTAGTACGTAACTTTAAAACGGTCTTGAATATTATGAAATCGACTTGCCAACTATACTTTAAGCTAATATTTGAACTACAAAGCCAAATCCTATCTATGAGATAGATTATACGAAAATTATACCAGCGGCAGTTGCTATAATTGATGACCTAACGTGAAAGAAATCTGTAAAACTATTAATACTTTGGACACATCTAGCTTTTAAAATGTGCCGACAAAGGACCGGTTGTTTCTGATTCGGTTGAAAAATTATAGAGTCGGAAAAAATAAAAATGCATAAAAGTGGACTTAATTAAATTAGGAATGCGAGATTACAGGATAATAGGCATTACTTACTAGTAATAATTTAAGTATAACAGTTTATGGATTAGCTCATGTTAACTTTCGTAATAGAAAATTCGCATTTTATTTAGCCGAACCTTTACCTATTAAGTTCAGTGTAAATTAGTATGAATGTTGTATATTGGTAGTGAAAGGAAAAATGTAAATAAAATGGTATAGTTCCTGAAAATAGACAAATAGTCAAAGGTATGATTATGGAGAAGTTAAAATTTCGACTAAATACCCACTGAAAAACTTATTTAAATGTTTTGCCACCTTTAGAATTAGTTATGGGTCACTAACATAAATATTTTATAACATGTCAAGCAGTTTGAAGGAACGAATAAAACAATCTTTCCAAACCTTATGTGAATGATATGAATGTAAGCTCTAGTAATAGATTATTCAAGCGGTACATTTTGTTAAGACGTCTATAACGTGTTCGGTGGCAAGTAAAATTCCATCTACCATAATCTCCAAACCTTATTATACCGACTGATAAAAGAAGTACTTAATGTTCATCTCATCAGAAACACTGTGTAAATAGTAAAGTGAAAATTAGACTTAAACTACATGTGATAATATTTTAAGTTAGAAAAAATCCAATTATTGTTTATAAAATGTAGGTGCTTCTGTGTGTTCAGGAATATGTTTGATAAATAAGCACGAATTCTCAACAAACGATATTTGTTATCAATTACTATAAGAACTTATTAATTCATTTTATAAAAATATAAGCTTTATTGTACGTGATAGTTATTGCTTTTAGACGTATATATTCATTAATATAATTTTTCCTATACGATATAGTATTTGTTAAAATAAATTAATGGATGTTCATAACTAAAGTAATATGAAATGTGTATTGAAATAAATCTGAAATAAAATCTGCTTTAATAGATGTGAAATTCGTATACATATTGTATATATACAGACTTGAATGAATGCTTATTAGAAAAATTATACTTTGTTATATCTGTCGTTCTGCACTATATTTGGAAAAAAACATTCCTATATAATTTCATTTATAGATTATTATTTCAATTACAACTAGACCACCCGAAAAAGCAGAAAATTGCTCCTGATAATTGGTATCAATTATCATATCGTTTCATGTGAAACGCTAAATCACAAAACAAAACAATTGGCGAATTATTAAGTGATTTTATTTCCGAATATTAATATCTCTTGCTTTATTAGTAGCCTCATCTAATTTTGAGGAATGTGATCATAAACAGTCAGCTTAATATGCATCTATTTGGTATATGTTTGAGTGTGAGCGGTATTTTGAAACTATTGGTGATCATAAATTAATGTTTTGTCACCATATTATTATAGAAATATACCTTAAATGCATGTGCCCGTAGTTCCAAATGGTATTAATAAATAATGTCAATGGAAAAAGTGTGTTTCACTTTTTCAACTGAGAATCTATAACAATTTAAAATTGCTCATTGATATTAATAACATTTCCCCAGTAGCCTATATATTTTTCATTGAATTGCGCGCATTGATAATTAAATGTAGTTCTGTAATCCAAGCTGAAACAAAATAAACAGTTTTTTGAAAACGTCTGTTAGGAAGTGCCTCCGTAGTCGGATGCAGATTCACATAACTTCGGGTATTGTTATCGGCGTCGGATAAGAAAGACCGTTATACGATATGGAAGCGTAACCTTGCAACCGCCACTCTCTTGGAACGAAAAAGAACAATTAACCGGCAATCCTCACCTCAAATGAAATTTCAGAATCGGATGACACTTAGTGATGAAAGTACACAAGTACAAGGTTAAATTATTAAGTTGCCCAAAAGGTTTTAGAAATACCGCAATAACGTTATTGAAATAAAGGAGAAGCCAGATAAAAAATTACTTAGATTATTTTAGAGTGCTTTTATACATCAGTTTTATACAGTCACTGTAGGATTTTAACTTCGGAACAAGCATAATTTTGATTAGGTTTAATTTATCGAACATTTTTGTTACATAGCCCATCTAAAACAAATTTCTGTAAATGTGACATCGACGTGAATAAAATATTTAATCTGGATCAATCAAATTCTACAGACAAACATAGAATAGCATTGCATCTTAAAATTCCGAACGCAGAATCATTGCTCTTGCTTGAACTAGCTTAGCAGTAATTCTTATTGCCGATTTTTGAACCAATAATTTTTTGAATAAGTCAATTTTGAAATCTGAAGACAAAGTTATGGTTGAAAATTTAAAGCCTAGAGTAGATTTGCCTGATTCGCATGTCCTGAATCGTGGATTTATTTTTCAATAAATACTTTTACCATGTTCTATTCTGAGCGTTTGTTTAGTCGTGATTTCTACCCATAATTTATGGATGGTAAGAGACGGAACCTAAAACGATCCTAATTACCGCTCAGTCAGTCAGTCAGCAAATCAGTTTTAGAAGCGATATAAATATTACAACAGTTGATGTCAACAACGATATTTAGAAGTGAATATTAATACAAATCTATTTTATTTCCGATTTTTAGTCTCTCCATGTGAAAAAAAAATGAGGAAAGAATTCTTATTGCAGTTTTCTACCAAAATAACCAAAATGTGTTCAATAAATCAGTTTTTATGAAAAAGTTACATAGAAAGTAGTTTTGCTTATGAATTGAACGATGAATATGAATTTAATGAAAATGTGGCCCAAAAGTAAGCATGAATTTCTTGCCATCTGACGGACCGCACAAAAAATTATCATTTGCCTTACTTTAAATGAGTACGCAAAAGTATGTTTCGAATGTTTTGTAGGTCATACCGCACATATGCATGTTTGTTATCTCATTTCAAATAGGGCAAACATTAATTTTCATTCTTTCCGTTGGCTCGATAAGTTCTAATTTATGGGTAAGAAGTAATATTGACAAAATGAAAATATTGACTGAAAAATAAAATTTTTATTGAATGCGTCTAATTTCGTAAGCAAATACTAGGTACCGTTTGCAATCTGTTAGGGAAAAGAGTTCCAGTTATGGAAAAACTAGTTACAAAATGTCCTACTTATTCAAGTGGAATGCTGAGTGCCGAAATGTGTACAACAAATTTTTTTGTATTAGTTAATATGTAGTTTTTATAGTGGCGCTTTTGGCAGTGCACTATAATTTACGACATTGGGACTGCGTATTTTGTAATAAAGCTTTCATTCTCTTAGTTTCAATGCATTTCTCTGGCGATTACACCAAATTATCGTTTTTATTGGATATTGGAAGCTATATCAAAATATGCTCGAAAACACCACAACCACACTGTATGTGTACGATTGTTTTCGTACAAAACGGCATCTTTGACCAATTAATACATGTCTATATTAAATGGAAATTTCTATCCCAAATAGGTTTTGCATTACCGAACACTGAAAAAAGCAGTAAAACTCTGACGTTCTTTTAATGGGGTTAGTGTGGAATGAAAACGGTTAACAGCAATCTATCTAATCTTCCTCTATATCTTTTGTATAAAGTACTTAGGATTGTAAGAATTCAATTTACAGCTCACTTGATTTTAAGTAGCTTTGCAACTTGCAATCAATATGAAATTTGCAGCTACAATAATGTTTCCTCGTACGCATAAGTTTTCTCTTAGCGTTTGGGCTCGCAATACGATTCCAAGTTCGGGTGTTGAAGAAGAGAGAAGAATTGAAATTTGATTCACAATAGAAGCGGGTCATAGAAGCGGCTGCTAGAAGAGAACGTTTTACACCAAATATTTTCACCGTCTGTTTTGTGCTAAGTTACAGTTTCAATCAGCGAATCAAAAGCGCAATTTTCACAGGCCTGAGTTCTTAAGATCCAGTTTAGTGTATCATTTTTGCAGGTTTAGTTTAATTTAACATATTTTGTTGAAAAGCAACTGCATGGATTGAGACTAAGACCCTAATATTTTACTGTTCAATAATTAGTTATTAGGGCGTTTGAGGGTTGTACAAAATTAAAACGTTATTTTATATTTTGGTAGCATCCAGTTACTTTGGTGATTTTAT